TCTGTATATTTTAATATTATAAATTTCCAGATATTAATGAAAATCAAGTTGAATGAAAAGCACAATTAGGATCCTATAGATATTTTTAAACAGTTCTTGAAATCTCTAATGAGTATTTGGGTCAAAAACAGACAAAATTCAAATTTTTACTGGTGAGAGGAGACAGGTGTCTCTTCTTGTAATGTCAATGTCAAAGTCATTAAAAAAAAATAGACAAAACAGTATGTTGTTACATATTACATTTTAATTTCTTTTATCATCTCAAATTTCTTGTAAAAATGTTGGAAATTTTAAATACAGTAGATCTCAGGATACAAAATTAATCCATTCCTAAACTGATATTGTATCATGAAAATGTTGTAAGGTGAATCATTTTACCCCATATGATTACATGTAAAACCAAATAATCCGTTCCAACACGAAAAAAACACTCAAATTAAAGCTAAGTAGTACATTGAAAAAATAACTTTAGTAAGGGAAACACTGACAAATGCATTTTGTAGTTGTAAATGTATAAATAACCATAATAGAATAATAACTGATTTAAAAATGTAATTTTATTTGCACTTTACTTTTGAGGATAGATGACGGTGGAGGTGCAAACTGATGGCAGAGAGGGAGAAGGGAAATGATACTAAAACTTAACTTACATAACACAATGTAACAATAACTTAACACTAATTTTTTTATCTTTCTGTTTTATACATATATATTTTTTAATTCACTGCTTTTTGCTTTCTTTCCTTCATTTCCTCCAGCATTTTCATTGGATAGAAGTCACTTGGTAAAATATCTATCCAAAGAGCCTACTTTGCCTACTTTTTAAAATGTTTCTAAAATGACTTAAGCAAATGTCATTAAACTGAGCAGCAATACGGCCAGTGTGAACCTTTTCGGGATGTTTCTCTTCAATAAAATCAGTCACTTTCTGATAATATCTCAAGATTTCCTTTATCGAGTGAGATCTTTCCACGACGAAGCAAACATGCAGACTGAGACCGATGAACAGAAGGAACATGTGATCATGGTGGTACTCTGTGAACTAATGTAACGTCATATGGTGAGTGTTTGTTCATACTGTGGAGCAAAAATATGTTCAAATTTCATGTCATATCCTGAAAATTTCGTATGCTGAAGCGTTCATATCTAAACATATCTTATAATTTTCTAATGTGTATTCTACATATATATATATATATATATAAACCTCTCTATAATGGACACTTGAAGGACAAAAAACAACCTCGNCTTTAAGTTAAATAATAGCAAAGGTAATTCTACTAATTAATTTATATTAATATATTATATTATAATAATGTAAGGACGGATAATCAGTGGCTAAGTGGCTATCAGTCTTACCAGTTTTCTTATATAGGCTCTACATATCAGTTTGTAGTTATTTATAATTTAATTAATTATTAGTGTTAATAAAGTAGTGAGTAAGTAATTAGTAGTAGTCTAGTAGTTAGTTATTATCATCATAATCATGAATCACGTACATTCATATCATCATATATCTAAGATACTGATACTCATTAATTTAATTAACTAACTAGGTAGTCTCAGTTTCTCACTAATTTTCACAATAAAATTGCCTAGCCTAGCCCACTAACCACTTATAGAATAAAAGTTAAAAACTCTTACTTAATAAAATTAGAGTAGAAGTTATAAAATATTAGTCTTGTCTTGAATAAGGTATTTTAAAGGATTAAATAAAATTAAATCAATCACTTCTGTTATTTTTTTGACTTTTCTAAAAGTAGGATCTCAAGAAACAAATGGTATTTATTGATGGTGTTGTCTCCCAACCTATTTCTTATGAACTGCATATATATCCCACCCTATATAAGGCCTTTTCTGCTTCTATACTAGTTGGTTTCAGTGTCATCAAATAATGATAAATCAAAGATAAGTTTTCAGCTCTGACTCCCTCACTTTCATAAACAGCCATTTACTTTTTTAATAACTTATCATAATCCTTCTCTGTACTAATTCCTTTCCATTTCATGAAGTTTTCTTTCTCACGCTTTAGTTGGATCTCTAATTCTTGTTCCAATGTGAAATTCAGGAAATTTGGGTTATCTGGATCATCGTTTTCCACCTCCGTAATATACTCTGCCATTGCTGCTGTTTCCACTACACATGTATTTACACGATTCAGCATATTTTTCATCTCCTGGTGCATTACATTTTTTACGGCATGTGAAAGATAAAGCTTTCTAACTTTTTGGTCATACTTCTTTGGGTTCTGTATGTAAATCAGCATCCCTGTGACCTCGGTAAGACGCCGTTCTCCGATTCTTTTGTGGAGTGCCTCGGAAAGGTTGGCACTCAAGATTGTGTCCTGGCTTTTTAAGTTTGTCTAAGACAAATTTCAGGGTTGTGTCAGCAGTTATCAAACTCGACTCTTCCGCAGAGAGCTTCTACGGCCAGTTTAAACTGCAATCGTTCCGTCATGTGATTCATTGATGTCACAATCAACCATAAATTAGAATTATGCACCAGGACTAGGATAGGAGTTACTTATTTTATTTAGTGCGAAGACACTTTATTTAGCAAGAGCAGAAAGTCAACTGGCAATCAGATCAGCAGAGGTAAAAGGGCAGGCGGCGCAGTGTAGAGAGGGGGTGTAGCACATGCCGCACTGAACGGCAACATCGCTCTCGCCGCCAAGCGATAGCGCACATAGCAAAGCGGCAAGGTCAACAACGTAGACTTTTGCGCCATTATTTAGAAAGTTAATTGAGTATTTGTAGATCAGCAGCACTGGATCCAACAGGCCGAAAAATGTGCTGGATCCAGCAATTGCAATACCTAATCAGCACATTTAATTTTATATAAATAATGATTGGATCTTCTATTGATATTTTACCAAATATTGTTCATTTCATAGATGTGGATATGTTAATTTCATAACTATTTGTAAGATGATGATGAGGAACTTTAGGTCCAAAATGCATACTGTTTTGGGAAAATAAATTGATTTTCTAAGACTGATCTTGTGTCCAGAGACAGTGTAATAAGTCTAGAAATAAAGAAGCCAACATAGTGCTCACAAGTGTATATCAAATATACATATTGTTAAACTAAGTCACCTAATAACATTAATTAAAAGTGTGAGTGAATTAGCCAGACAGGCTAGTGCTGTTATCATAAGTAAGTTGATATGGGAGAGATAAGCATACAGAATTGATGCACAATGCTGTAATAACCTGAGTTAAACTTGTACTATGGTTCAATGCACATTGAATTGAGACACTTGGATCCTCAGCTGGATGGACAACAGTGGGAATTTATAAGTCAACAATTTTTTTTCAAACTGCAGCTCAAAAATTAAAGTATCATTTTGTTGCAGACACTAAAGAAATTGTGAAGAATGCATCTTCCATGATATCATAAAGATAAGAATCATTTTCATTAGCTGACAAAGTTTACTCCAGTGATTATATCATCCACTGGTATAAAAACCTGTGTGAAGGTAGTGCACTTTTATAAACAAAATGAAAAATTTTTAACAGTTAACACCACATAAAAGTCCAAAATTGTTGCCTTGAATGGTGAAGGTTTATCCTGTCATGAAATAGTAAAGTACATGCATGGTCATCAATCAACTATGTATATTTGTTATAAAGGAGACAAGAACATGAAAAGAAAAGACTGAATCATAGTGTGATTATGCCATATTAGGATATGATGTTGAAGCATCTCAGCCTACTACAGCACACACTTGGAAGAACTAGCAGTGTGCTAGTTCTTCTAAGCTGAAGGTAAAGTGAGAAGAGCAGATAGGCTTAAAAGTGAATGCTTAAACTGTATGACTTGACCTTGCAATATGAACTGCTGTTCAAGTGAAAAGCTATTACTGATGATAAATAAGATGACAGCAACTTATCTGGATAAACAGAATATGGATAGGTACATTGACATATAAGATTGTTATTTTTTTGAACAAATCCAAATTTATTTTGCATCAAATCTAATGGAAAACCCTACATTAGGTGTAAGAAAGCAAGGTCTATAATAGGGATTGCTTGAGGTAAAACATTAAAGTTTTCAGTAAGTCAAACAATATGAGGATGTATATCCAGTAAAGCAGACTACACTATAAATCTAAAAATGCAGTGTTACAAAAATATCTTACCTATCATGCTGATTCCAATAATTAAAAAACAATTTTGTGGAACAAAATACTACATTGTCCAAGACAACTCTTAGTCAAGACAGCAGCTAAAATGCTCAGATAAATGTGTTTTCTCTACAATTTATAAACATTATTGTTACTTAAACTGAAAGAAATTATTGTTTAGAAAAAAATTATTTTTGTAGGTTCAGAAAAGATGACTAAGCTAGCCAAACAACAGTCCTGATTAACACTATTTAGAACTGATAGCATATCATGGGCACAAAAACTGCAGAGAATAGGCCTGAAATAAATAGCAACTACAGGACTATTACAGACTTGGTATAAAATAATGTAAGAAACTTGTCCACTCTGTGCTACAGTGTTGCAAAGCTGTTATTAAGGCTTAAGGTAGCCCTACAAAATATTGAGATCCCATTCAACAAGAAAACTGTTAATATTATGCTGTCAATCTTTTTGGTTGCTGTGAATAGCAAGTTATTGAAACAGCATTTGTCAACAGTTTTGTCAGAGTTGTGTTAAGTCCCAGTTACTAAACTCACAATCATAGCTTACATATGCTACTTTGCACAACTGTTGAATACTTTTTGATATACAGTGTATATCATATCATAGGTGATGTAATCTCTGACCATTACTGTAAATTGTAAATATTACAATTAAGAATTTATTATACTATAAGTTCAATATGTACTTCTATTTTATTAATTTTAGTTATTCCTTAATTTTCAATTTAGCATTTATACTAATATTAGTTAATATTCTTATCATATAATTAAATAAACATTTATGTAAGAAATTCAAATCATCATTCATCATTAGTTAATACTTCATACTCCTTTAAAAGATATTGTATTACCTGCCAGGAGTCTGATTGATGTGATATTGGAGTTTGAGCTGGTACAGACTGTAATAAAGTATTATTTCCCTGAGATGGCTGATCCCATTGTGATATGGTTCCTGGTAAATTATGCTGAAAAAGAAATTATTTAATAGTAAAATCTTTCTTATTTTATATTTTAGTACTTTTTTAATTGTTAATAGCATTCAAGGTAAGTATTTTTTTTTATCTATCTTAAATAATAATATTAAATTTCTTTTATGAAGTTCTGATAAAGACATTAGCTAAATTAGGATTGTATATTGTATATTTATACAATCCTTGTAAGCCAATAAAGTTTCATTTAAATAAATAAAGTTTACTTATTCAATAAAATTCATAACTTACTGGTTGTGTTTGTTGAATGTTGTACATTTTCACATTTCCAGTTGTTGCACTAGGTTCAGAATATGTTGCACCAGTTTGATTTGATGGCCATTGTGGGGAAGACCTGGTTTTAGTTAATAAATATTAAAAAATAAGATAATTTTGAAATACTTAAAAATAATTGGTATCTGTAATATATTAAAAAAAAGCTAAAAACTTTAATAAAAATAAACATTTTTATTAGATACAAGGAAGGAATTTCTCATTTGCAAATTCTCAATGAGAGATTTATCATCATCAAACTTTCAACTAAACAATAAAATTTTTAACAAGATATTTAAAAATGATAGTGAACTTATTATCTAAGCATTAAATCTTCATTTAATATATCCTGAAATATTTTCCGCATTCTTACTGAGAATGCAGTAAAACATTAATATAAATTTATTTCTTTATTAGTTTTAATATTTTTTAAAACATATTTTATAAACAGCATGTGTCTGTACTATTTTTAAACACAGATAATACATGTCCTCTAATGTATATACTTTTTAATTATTTTTTTCATTTATGATAAGCTTCTTGATGCATATTTTAAGTTTATTTGTTCAAAAAAATTCTATTTGAATGAATAAAATTTTTGAAAACATACCTTTTAAAATGCAAATTAACTGAAACCAATTTATTAATTCATACAAATTTATCATCAGTTAAACAACTGATGATAAATTTGTATCACCTTAACAAAAAATTAGTTTTATTATAAATTTTTCGAATTTTAATAAATACAATTTACAAATTTTTATTTTAATACTAGCTGCAAGGACCCACTTTGCTGGGTTTTTATTTGTTTGTACATTTGTATGTAATATAGTTTTTTTTTATATATACAGGTATACCTCGCCTTACGTCGATAATTGGTTCCAGGAAAACGACGTAAGTCGAATTTACTTGTCTTCGAATCTACTTGTCACTAGGCTAAACCATAAATTACCATTTCCGGTTCTGTATTTTATTTATTAATGCATTTTAATAATATATAATTAATAAGGATATATTTTAAGCTTACAAACAAATAAATTTTAGTTTTTAATATAGTACAGAAAAAAGTAATCTAAATTTACGAATGCATGTACTGTAAATACAATACATACTTGTAAATGTATATATTTTAATATGATTTTATGTGCTTTAAAC